TAACTTACCCCAGTTACTAATTTAGTGATTGTGACGGTGAAATCCATATGTGGACACTATAATGATATAGGGGAAATTATACATATAGGCGGCATAGGGAATAACAGGGAAAACGTATGCCGTCTGCGACACCTTTTCCCTACTAAATTTATTGATCTCCAAGTATTATGTATTTATTGAAAGCTGAAACCATGTAAATCTATCGTTTCCAGATCATTTAATTGGTACTCCTGTTAACCGTAGAATAAATTTTGTTTTTTGGAAATAAAAGAAATTCGTATTAATTCACAAAACTAAATGGAAAAAATGTGATTTCTCGAAGATTTTCTGCTATGACTATGTTAACGTATTCAAGATGACCAACGTAACCTAGTAGAACTACATTGACTTTCTTTATTTGCTTTCAGATGAAATTGTATGAAATCATTTTTTTAATACAAACTTTATATCACTCTATGGATATTATCGTTTTGTATTCTAGCTGGTAAAGTTTATTATTGCGTCTGTTCGTGGGGTAATTTTTTCCGGACATTACTCAGGGCTATGTTTATTTACCACTTTTGTATCTGGGCTCAAGTTAGGTTGCAAAGTTAGCCCAATATTGACTTATCCCATCATTTTTTCTGGGACCCACATTCCCTTCCAAACTGGACCCAATAGTAGTTCTATGAAAATATGACGTATACCTAGCTAGTTAAAAATATAAATAATATTGAAGTTGGACTATATTTAGGTAACTATACACATATACAGGGTGAACCACGGATCGTGATCAGTAGAGATTACTTTGTTATTAGCAGTCCGATCGAAAATGTTTTTATCAGTTTTTGCATGGTTTCAAGAGAGCTTTAACGTGATAGTGAAAAATTGCTGGTCAACTCTTTTTTTAAATGTTTTTTCAAGGTTACCTTGAATTTTTTGCAACTGAACATATAATTTTTTTACGCCTGTCTGTTAGAGGATTTCAAGACGAATCCGGCACATGTAAGGACATGACATTTTTTTCATCTGGTTCGAAAGAAAATTAAAAAACTAAATACTCCTTATCACAAGGAGAATCACAGCTAC